ACTGTAACAGTGTATACACAAGATCCATATCTTTTTCAAAAAACACTATGCTAAAGAGAAATTGGAAAATAATATATTACTAACACTAACTGATAATTCCTCAACACAATAATTGTCATTAACAAATCGACAGTCAAAGTTTGCATGAAATATACTCTTACATAAGCAGATACCACAGGGTTGTATATAAAAATATTTAATACCCACTAATTTTGACAAAAACTTGTAAGGGAAAACCAAACTTACATGAACTGGACGATAAACATTTATATGTGGTAGAAGAGGTTGTTTCATCTTGGCCAGCAGGTTTGCAAAAAACAGCAATACTTTTTGTTTCATCCCAGGAGGACACTAAAACATGAAGGATCCCAGAAGATTTGATATGGAGGTAGAAATTACCAAAGAATATGTAACAAACTGACAACAAAATGCATAAGTCAGCTCTGTTAATCTTATGAAGTGTAAAATAATGAAACACAAAGCTACACTGATTCCATGCATTGAGTTGATTCTATAGCCTACCAAAAAAGGCTTACTAGAAATACCATCATGATTTTTTTATACAAGTGAAAAGCCCCATACTTCTTTTTTGCATATAAAAAGTGATCGGTCAGTTGAATGTTTTCAGCTTTGCTTTTAAAAACTGATTTTCCAGTTTGTCATAATTTTATTGGCTTTAAGATTCAAATTTAAACAATTCCATATGATTAGTGATTTTAGATGTCCAAGAGGTAAGATTGACATAAGTTGTTTGTGAGAGATACATTGTACGAGTTATCACTGAGGTCTCTCTCTCAGATTACCTCAAGGAAATGTCATAAGATACCTACATCTGCTCTGCCAAGAGTGTGAAGAGTGTCCAATATTTTATGCTGCAAAAGATATTCCAGACAAGGACCCTTAAAGAGGAAAAAAAGTAAAAAATGAAATGAAGAAGAAAACTACTTGCCAGAAAAGAATACATTAAAACCTATGGCCCATCACTGACTCAAACTCAAGATAAATCAATGCAAAAAAGAACAAAATTGCATGAGACAGAGTCCAAGAAAATACATATACACTGCACAGCTGTACTCAATTCCCCTGCAAAAAACTTTTACACCAGAACCTCAAGAACCTAACAGAGCCCATATGAACCAAAGTGTAAACATTTCCCTTGCACTAACACCATTGTCAAAGCTGGGTTTGAGTGTGTCTCTGTCCATTTTAAGTGAATATTAATCGTATTCAAATGAATTGAGGTATTGATGACTGAGAGGCCTAGACTGAGTACTGGCAGTCTACATATTAGTCCTTTCCTAGATTGAGCAATTTGTTCAGAATAATGCAAGTCATAAGACTTGTGCCACACCACCATATTTTAATTTCAAAATAATTTTAAAAATATTGCTTCTAAATTATTTTAGCACGTGTTATCAGCAATCAAACAAGCAAGCAACAAGTTTATTTATAGCCTATAAGAGAGTCTTAGTTTGCCTTCACTATAGGCAGTTTTGATCATCTCTTGATTTCAATTGTGTTTGTAATTTATTTCTGAATACTGGAGGATATATCCATTGAATACCTTTGATATAATTGGATATATTATACAGGATATATACATTTCATAAACTGCCTAGTCCCAAAACAAGCCTCTGTCCATTGTGGTGTTTAGAAATGTTTTGTGTACTAATAAAATAGAAAGCAATACTATGACTAACAACATATCTTTTTGTATGTGTAAAGTAGTCCAGAACTTAAAAGATCAGAAATTGGTGAAAAGAGGAACTGAAATTTTGGGTCATGATGAGCATATCCCCATAATTCTGAGTCCATGGTAATGCAGAGTATCTACAGTTTTCCTACAGGGAAACCATAATTTGTTGGCTTCAGTAATTGGGAAAGGGATGACAATAATCACTAGAAAGATTGAATGGAATTTTTAAGGCATCCGTTTTAATGAAAAAAATTAGCCTAAAGATCAATTCATTAAATTTCTGGTCTAAAATTTACCGTAGTTCCTCCACTGGACGGGTCATCTTCCTCATGCTTAAGAATATCTAACATTTGTTCCAAATGATATGGAATATTTGTGGATTGCACTGGAACCTTCTCATCTGCCGATCATGAAAAAGGAAACGTTTGATAATTAATCAAACGCATACATGGAAGCAAACAAAAGTAATAATCTTTAAAATATGCACGTTAGATTGTATACCATGTAAACATAAACATTGATTTCGTGGCTTACCTGTGGCTTCTATGAAATAATTTGTGATGGCCTTCCAGTGGAAAACAAAGGTTTCTTGAGGAGGAACGTCAGGAGCGAGCTAAAAATTACCAGTAATATGGTGAGGTTTTAATTTAAACGTGAATATATGAGATGTTTACAAGCTCCGAAAATTGCTCAAAATTTCTTGTCTAGCTGTGCAAGACAACGGATAGGTCCACAAATTCGTACCACAAGAGCAATTCTACAATCATTAAAATCACAGACTTACAGCTTCAACTGCTTCATGGATGAAAGATCTTATTTTATGAAACATTTTGTAGTAGTTGCCTAATCGATTTACTACGCCATTTTGAATTTCGTTCAGCTGAGGTGTAATTCGACATGCGCATGCTTAGTCTCCCATAATGCTGCAGTAATTTCATAGGGCTGCAATAACGTGCAAAACAACACATCTATTCTCTTTTACTCTCCTGCAGTTTTGATTCGGTGCTTACGATCGGGGGCTCGCCTACTCTCATTCAAAGTAATACTAGCATAAAAGAAAAACAGGAGATTTTCTGAGTCGAGAGCTTTCACCACCAAGATTTGGAAGTCAAGTTTAGCAACTACTGATGATGGTGCCAGATATATTTTGGGAGGAAAATCAAGGTTGACGCCTAAACTTGATGGTCGCGGGTTGATGATTTTTAACTTTTCATTGCCTCTCTGTTTGACAATGTCTTGAAATTATAAGAATAACTTGAGAAGTGAACATTATTATAACGTCATACCTTTCGCCAGGGCTTGGATGGAAGAACGCGCCATGTTTTTTTTCCTTTTTTTGTTGTTTTCTGTTTTTTTTTTTGCTTTATGTTTTTTTTTGTTTTTTTTGTTTTTTTGTTTTGTTTTTTTTTTATCCAAAGAAAACTGGCTGCGTCAATTTAAACATTCCATACGCAGCCAGTGCATCCACCACCAACAAACAGCCAATCTTGACATAGTGACAAACTCGACCAGTTATTGTAGATTGTGAAGCTCTCCTTGCCTCTTCAGACATGACAGGCAACTTTTCCTCTTCCGTGTTTGGCTTCTCTTTGATTTCCATTCTCTTTAACTTATGACTCATCTCTTGAAGCGAAGAGTAAATCTTGAATTGAACATCACGATCTCTTTTCACCATCTGCTTGTCCGCTTCAGCTTTCAACTGAAATCGTTTTATATCTTCCTTAGCCTTCCAGCACATTTCCTCCACCTTATCCAAGTCATCAAAATATTTATTAGCACGTTTCTCGAGCTCGCGAAATTGTCTTTTCACTTTGTCGACAGCGCTTTCGTCTTCGTCAGGTACAGCACTCGAAGATTGCATCCTGTTTTCAGTCACAGTCGAGACCATTTTCAATTGATTAGTGCTACAGAAGTGTCTATATATTCTTCGTCATGCAACCAAAAAGGTACTTGAAGAAAGTTGTCAACACTACGCAGAAATTTGGCAATTTGATGTAACAATTGACTCGTGTTCTTAATTGATTAAGCGCGCGCTGCTTTAAAACTGCGGCAATAATTTGCATAGGTATATTCTAGAAGCATGGTCGAAAGATGTTTTCGAAAACTTTTAAAATGAGGAAGTTCCCAATCAAATTTAGGAAGTTAGGTTCCGGCAAATAAGAATGGAAGTCACCCAGTTAGTCTAGATTTTTTTGCCGTACAATTAATTCTCTTTTGCACGTGACACTGGTGTATTTAAAGATTGGATATGCATGCGTTATGGATGACCAAGGTTAACTCGCAAACATGTCCTTATTGATAAAGCAATGGTTAATTTTCACAGAAGTGGTTTAAATATCCTTTGGAATGGAGTACTGTATGGGTAACCTAGCTTAATAATTGTGAGAAGGAATCGTTAGGCATATTGGTAAGAACGAGGGGGGAGGGGTAAAGCAACGACTTAATGTAATTTGAAGGGAAATCTGAGAGTCTCCTTGTTTCGATTCTTGAACAGCTTCAAGAAAATGGCTCAAATCGTCTGGCTCAAGCAAGAGATAACCAAGCCATAACACTGAATTAGCATATGAGCCTTATCCTGACGTCAATTCATTTAAAGTAACTTAATATCACTCTTGTTTTTGAGAGAATCTGAAGATAAACATTCGTCATCGATAACTTCAGTGAGATCGTCTCACCCATATGAACATCCAGCGTCTAATCGTTCCTGGAACCGAAACTTTCCCATGACACGCGAGTTGAGAATACATGCCACAATAATTCTGAGAGATAAGCTATCTTGAGACTAAAAGTAACTTCATAAAAATTTTTATTTCTTTACCGAGCTCAAAACTTACCATCTGTCTTATTCTATTTACAAACATGACGCTATCGACATTACTGATCCTAGCAGTATGCAGGACGCGTGTAATATGAATTCGAACTTCATAATAGACCTCGTTTACCATAGAGTCTCTGTGGCTCAGTGGTAGAGCATCAGGGCTCGGAATCCGAATGTCCAAGGTTCAATTCCTCGTGGGCACTCATGAGTTTTTCTCTGACCCACGCTGATAACAAGACGAAAAACGCCTTTCTCTACTTCTTTACCAACCTCAAAACTTACCACCTCTCTTATTCCATTTACAGAGATAGTTATTTTATCTCTGGGTTCAAATAGAAGGCGTAGATTTCAATTCAAACGAAATAGGGGCCCGCTAAATTGATCAATCACAGTGCACGTACTAACTAAGAGATAAATAATTAAAATTATGTTAAGCTCACCATCAATTTAATACAAATGGAACAGGCTCTCCCTGTCCTCACTTTGTCTTACTATTGAAACCCAAGGAAGTTCATGACTGAATGTGAGTCTGTACGACCTTAAATAGTCATCAGTTAAGATTTTAGTACGTGAATACGAAGTTTGTTACACATTTTACTGGGTTTTGGATTTTCTACTCTGTATTTTTTTTCTAATTAGACTTCAAATTCCTCTTCATGGCTTAGAAACATTTTAGCAGAGTCCTCGTCTCCCACGGATTTCTTCAATAAGTCCTGAAAGCACTCAATCACTCTAACGCAACGTAATCTCTCTTTTTCATCACAAACTCCTTGCTCCTCCAGTCTTCTCAGTTCTTCAGTTTTTTTGGCGATCAACTTAGTTAAAGTTTCGGCTGGACTATTTTTTTCTTCCATAGATGATGGGCTTTCCAGTTGTTGCTCATCTTTCGCAACAGACTCTCCTTGACTTTGACTTTTCGTATCATTTGTGCGCCCGTGCTCGTCATTGTTGCTTTGGTCAGCAGCATTTGATCTTGATGTGTCTCCTTGGTAACCAGAATTTTCACGTATCGTCTTTCTTTCCCACGTACACGTATACGCCCTGATCAGTGATATGTTCTCTATTTCATCGTAATCATAAATAGATTTTATCAATCCTTTGAACCGCTTCAATTGACTGTTCTCTATATAGTTTACGTTTGAATTCCATTGTATTTCCGATATAGAAGGTTCTTCAATTTCTGGTTCCTCTCGGACTGGTGGTCCTTTGAGCCCGGTGAAAATCAGTACTCTGTCCAAAATAATGTTAAAAAAAGAATCTTGGTTTTTCTTAAGCTCCTCGTCGGTGCAGACATCTTGGTGCACAACGCTGATGATCGTTATAACAACGTTTGTAAATATAAATATCATGCTGGCAGAAAAAGTCGTGAAGAAAAAATAACCCACAGTTTTGTAATCAGACTGGGAAGTAAAATCAGTATGATCAAAAACTCCCATCACAAGACATGACAAAGAGGCAAGGGTTGCAGAGAAAGACCTGTAGTCTTCCACGTAAGGCGCGAAGACTGTGAATGCCATTGAAGAGTACGCCATGTATATGGCAAACAGCATGACGGCGAAGGACTGTAGCTCAACTACAGATTTTGCGATAGTGGTTGATAAAAGTTGAACGACGCGCGTGAAGCTTAAGAAATGGATGAACTTTAGTATGGCGACAAAGTCTGCAAACGCGTACAAGATGACAAGTGTCTCGTTGTAAGAGGCACACTCGGAGAAGTCCATGAACCATTCTTGATCACTTTTAAGGGTAGCCACGGCACTTTTGAGTTTGCTCTCTCGAACAACATACACAACTACGATAGCAACACCATCCACAAAGAGGATAATGTCCAGCTGACTTACTGTTTCATAGAAGTACTCCTTCCTCCGCTGATAAATACCTTTGATAATCGTGTACAGAGTGTAAAGGATAATCACGAAGAATAACAACTCACAAGCTGAGTTAAAGGCGTACGAAGGATCCAGCCGGGCAAATAGTCTGAAGATTTTAAAATCAACTCGCGGTAAAAAAGCATTTCCAGACGTTACTTCCGCACCAGTCTCTATGACTCCAATGAGGTTCGTGTTAGGGTTGTATATTGCTCCTTCGATAAAGACAGCTCTGGTGTACTTGTCAATCCAATGGGTCGACTTGAGATACTTCACGAAGGCGGCTGTTTCCTCCAAGGAATCACCAAACTCCGCCATGTAACCACCACCAGGGTAAAACGCGATTCTACCGTAAAACGTGAATGAAGAATTTGATTCCGTGGGGTCCAAGTAAGCCCATGGAGAAAGTTGCCCCGATGCACTTCTTTTGTACAGCGGAGTGTCCTCTGCCGGTTGATATCCAGCGCGCCATTCGGGGCTGAACATCCGGGTATCTTCATGCTTTTCATCAAAAGGAGGATTGCACTCGTGGATAACTTCTCTCAGCACTTTTGTCACAGAACAGCTACCTGCATTTTATGTGGAAGGTGACATGATTAACCATTCCTAAGATGATTATCTTAGTGATATAGAGGTGTTTCACACGAGAAGCAGAAAATAGTAACACAAATGCAAATGTTTGCTACATTGGAGTGGATTACATTTGCTTCACATCTTTAGTGCGGTTATTCAACTGAGTAACGTTGAAATACTTTCTGAAACGAATAAGGTTGTCAAGTCTTACGTATTGGAACAAAAGTATGAAAATTTGCAAAGTGAAACAAAACTTGAAACTCGCTTTACTGGTGGAAAAATATGATATTCGGGACGATAAAATGTTTAGTAAATGAGCAGACACAACGAGCAACGCCTAGACTCCTCCATTATATCTGCCGAGTATGATTTTAAAGTGTTCAATTGACAGAGAATTTCCAATTTGATAGTTAAAAAATTATCCATGATTCCTTTGGTACTTAATTCTGTAATTATTTCGCGTCCGCGTCTTCTTCCGGGCTAGTCACATGCAGACAAAGATAAGATTGCTAGCAGTTTTTTCATGTTTTCCTGCACTTGATGCCGATAGCTAACAGAGTTCTAATTAATTCTAAAATTTGCTTTTGTTCTGATTGGTCGTTGTGTTTACCTTGGTTTTGGTTTTTTGAGAATCAATCAAGAAACTTTACCGTTCTCGACGCGAACTTGACGCAATCGAATCCGTCCAAGTCGTCTGGACTGTCTTCCTGAAGTGTATCCAGTTCTGTTCGTTACCTTTTCTCCATTATACCAGTCATGTTCGTACAAATAAGGAATTAAGCTTTGCTCTGTCCATGTCATAAATAGCTGCAAATTGTTCACCTAAGGACGAACACGAACCTTGCGTCATTTCGAATTTTGTGACTAGAAAACGAAGGGCTAGTACGAGATGAGAAGCCAAAAGTCAAGGAGAGATCTCTTCAGTTTCTTCCAGCCGCTCTCCCTTCTCCAATTGCTCTATTACCCCTTCTTCAGTTATGAATACTGAACTTATAAACCTGACCCTCCAGTCTTAAATCTAAAATCTCAGTCGCAGCGTAAGTTTAAGTTTTTCCTTCACTCTCAGTTACTAAGAAGTTACTATTACAAGGTGGATTTCGCGAGCAGAAAAGTTGCCAAACCGGTTTTGTAAAATAAGGGAAGTTTTCAAAAACTTTTGTTGAAATTGGTAAATACAAGAACAGGAATGACTTAAGTCATAAGGGGGTCAGTGTTTCGTACTGATCATTTCGCACACAGGAATGTTAGTTGGTTAGTCACTCCTTTACGTGCGTCTACACACAAAAGGCCCCGGCGAAAGAGCGCCATTGATTTCTGTCGATTGCCAGTCAAGCTGCCTCTTATGTCCGGCCTCTGACCCACATCTCCCTTTCTACATGAGAAATTTAAGAATCTAAATTTGATTCTGACAACAGAAAATTAGGAGAGACTTGACCGTGGTCGATTATAATTGTTAAATAAGACTTACATCTGTAATTCCTTGGGGGTAGGATGCTGTAAGAGGATGTATAAATTCCTTTTCCATCGAGTTTCTCATCATGAACGACTGTGGGTCCCTGTTGCCATAACTGAGCAATACCAGGACAAGAACGACGAAAGTGTAATCTCCCAGCTTGATAAACTTGTCTTTCAATTGCTTTTCTCTAACCCTGGTTTCTCGCAAGGCGTTTAATTTGCTTTCGTCAGGAGGTTTGTATCGTAGCAGTTCCTTTTCTCTGTCTTCGTTGTCCAAAGTGTCGCCATGAAGCCACTCTTCATCTTGCCCTGTGTTTCAACAAATCGCAGGTGCGTTCAATGAATTATTTTTCAGTCACTACTAAGGCATTTTCTACTGCAGATCAAGCTTATCACAATAAATTAAGAATGAAAAAGGCTGCAGTTTTCCCACTCCCTCTCTCTTTGTAACTCGAATCTGTACTTGCAGAATGTTTCTGGCATGTCATCATTTGTTACCAAGAAAGTAGGCAACCGATTAGTGAAGGTGGCAGGACATAAAAAAATTAATGCTTCTTTAAAGCGGTGAAATATGTTCTAAGGCTCCTGATTTCAAAAAATGGTTGGTAACCTTTCTCTCTGGCCCTTATGTCGCGTAACAATGGCCTATCCAAACCGATCAATTGTTTTACGTTAAATGTTTCAGGACATTTCCTCTGACTTGTCAGAATCCCTACCGTGTTCAATCTTGAATCTAAAGCGTCTTTTAACACTTTTTGGTGCCAGTTACATTGTTACGAAGCTTTTAATTGCGTACTTTTCCCGGCTAGATTGGAGGGTTTCTATTGTTTCACCATGCTTAATGTTGCTTAGTGGCGACTTCTCCAATGTGACACCTTAAATTCGATGGTTTATCTCAGTAAACAAGAGATGAGAGTCGCATCTACAATGGAAAGTTTTCCCCAAGTTTTTCTTGCCGTTGGATAAAAAAATTTTATTGAGATTTTCCCTGATATTTCTTCTTGCCTACATAAAGTATGATTGAACAAAGAAACTTCTAAGGGAAAAATTAGTTAAGAACAAACTTTACAAGTATAGGTCGCCTAAAAAGGACATTTGCCTCGGAATTTTCACTGCCGACAGTTTTTACTCGAAATATGGGGAACAAGGTTTTCTTCACAAGAGCACTCGCCGAGGAAAACTTGGTAGCACTTATAAACGCAGCTTAAAAGTATACTTCTTCAGAAACGTTCAGTATTCAAAAGTATCACCTTTTCGCGGGTCTTCAACTCCTTGTTCGGCATCTGTTTCCTCGTCACTCTTCCTTATGAAGATGGCATATACCATTGATAAGAACAAAACCTTTGCTGGCTGGTTAATGAGAGTGTCTTGAGTGAACGTCAGGATCATTGAAATAAACCACTGGTTTGATTTATCCCGTCCCCACATCATGCTGTAAAATAAGGTGTACAAGGCTGATGTAAAAGACGCCATGATGCACAGAGTCCATGCTATATATAAACACCAATGTGGAAGGAAGCCATCGGATTTTTTCTTCTTTTTCTCTTCCTGTTCTTCACTCTTTTCCTTACTGTCGCCGTCTTCGATGTCTTTGGTTCGTTTTCTGCAACACCACCATTTTTTTGTGCCCTTTCTTTCATTTACTGAATTTTCGGACGTTTCGTCTAGAAAGTCAGAGCTGTAAATTAATCATAAATATCTTTCAGTTTGAAGTGTATATTGCGTTGGATGCTTAAACTATCGAGGAGAGAAATTCCAAAAAGAGAACCATCTGCTGTTCCCTTTCTGCAAACTATTCGCAGCAAGATTGGGTTTCCCTAATTTTTGGACTATCGAGTAAAATCAGTTTCAACTGGGTCAGAATGCGAAAGGGCTTACAGCCAAACACGATAATGAAAAGAGTCAGCTAGCGCAACTACCATTTCTATACCCTCCCCTTTCCTCTAGATAATACTCACCTGGGCTGACATTGAGCATGTGGTGTTCGGGAAATGTTTCTAACTTACCTTTGTGAGTCAAGGCTGTTTGTTTGGACAACATATTTGTGCCCTCCATCTCGTCTGTGTCGAAAGAAATCCATTTTGCCGCTTGAATTTTTCCCTGCTTTATTTACTACGACTAGGTCTTCATTATCAGCACTGCCATAACCATCTTCAGAGGAATCAATACCATTCAGATGAATTTCTTCATTCGGTGAAGATTCCTTTTCAATTCCTGACTTTGTTTCGTCTATGTCGGAAATTTCTACTTCTGAGACACAAATTGTTTCATCCGATGAGGATGAGGACTGTTCCTCCGTTTCCTCACCAGTCTTTTCAGTTCCTTTGGGTTTCACACTCTTAAAAATGGTAACTATAGCAACATTAACTGGAATGATAACGAGGCTACACTGTATACCAATAATAATCGATACTAAGTTCACCGCAATGGGCCCCGGGATTAAGCTGTCGCCATCGTCCACAGATACATTTTGCCCATAGAACATAGCACCAGACAACATAGCTGTACACAAAACTGTCTATAAGCTATATACTCGATTAGATAATTGGATCTCGAGGCATTTTGAAAATCATTTGATTTCTGCAGATCGTTGCATCGTCTGAGTGAGATTAGTTCTGAAAAAGACTACCAACGATGATAAGGACTGTTTCCACAAGCTGAGTGAAACTCAACCCCAGAGTGAAGTGTCCGTAATTCATTTTTCGTCGGTGGTTGCACAAAGTGCTACATTACTGTCAAATGGCTGGTCAACGTCTTTTTGGCCATGACTTTCTCACTCGTCTTCATTCGAATTGCTTGGAAATGGTTTCAAACTATTACTGTGTTGTTGGTTAATTTAAAAGCTTATTGTGATGGTATGAACTCTTAAGTGCGTATGATTTATTTCCTCGACTGTGTAACAATAATTGACTTATCAAACCCGCAGTACCTGTTCCATGTCCCTCTTGTCGGCTCTCCTGGCCCACACCAACGCAAGAGCATACAGGAGAAACATGACGAGGATAAAGAAAAACACTACTACGTTCCCTGTTTCGAACATTGAACTGAATCCAGCCAATACGGCGCTGTAATCAATTGGATTTGGGGCGACGTCCATCATTGAACCAAATGCTGTCAAATGCGTGCAACGGCAATGGGTGCGTGTGACACTTGTCAAGTTACCAACCTAAAAAACACATAAAAAATGTCATTTTAATTTAGCAATGAAATCTGAAGATAAATTACATTAACTAAAAATATATATACCTCGTTAATACTAACCGAGTTCGAGGTCCGTATTACGAACTGACTTTTTCCAGCTCTTATTTGTGGCGAGGTGCGCGGGATTTCAAAGCGAGGTTCCGTAGCTTATAGTGCGAAACAAGAAAAAGGAGGCTAGAAAGTTATTTATCATGTCTCTGGGTTCAAATAGAGGGAGAAGATTTTAATAAAATCTGAATTTTTAATTCTAGGTTAAGAAATGGATAGCTCACATCTGCCCTAATTAATGTGCTCATGAGGAGCTCTCGGTAAAAACAAAAACAAACACACACACTGCCACTTGACGTACAATCAGATGTACCTCGGTCATTCCTTTCGTACTCGTTTTTCAAAGTGATTCTCGAATTATTATCAGAGCTCAATTGAAGATACTGTGGGTCCAAATTAGGAACATGGTGTAGCGAATTTTATCTTTAATGTGCTCCATTTTTGTTATCTTACTTCCCCTACAGTACCCTATATCAAAATTCACATCCACTAAATTCACATTACCTCACAGCCATCGCTCTTCCACTTTTGAAATTCCTCGTTCCAATATAAACATTTGGATTTAAACGTTCTCAGCGTGTAAGTAATGCTCAAATCATTGCCTTTGCATTCAGCTGGGTCGTGTTGTCCATTCAACGGAGACGGTGGCGAAAAATAGATGCTAACGAAATATGTACCCATGTAAAGTCTCTTTTGAGATAGAAATAATGTAACATTGGAGTCGTGAAGATTATCTCTGGCGTGTTCCAGTTTAGTGAGATTTATCTGTAGAGTGTTTGTCTCATTTAAAGTTGACTTTAATGATGTACTGAAAGAGGTAGGATCTTGGTCTGTAGAGTTTGTACTTTCATCGGTAACATTAGGACTCAATCGTTCTTCTTCGGTTATGTTGGGAGAAACTGCTCTCCAGTCGAACTCTGTAGTTGTCGGGGCTTTCCCGCGCCTGACATAAACCACAAACTGCCGACTTGAGCCGACTAAACGAACCTCTACATTGACGGCAGTGCCATTTTTGTCAACCAACAGCTTATGTGTACGCCTTCCTCGGTGCACAGAACAGTTGTAAATAAATTTTTCCGGAGGACTGACGGGAGAATCTCTTGGAATAAAAACGTCTATTGGGTCATCTTCGTCCAGGTTGGAGACACTTAGCTTTTTACCTTTGCTATTGAAGGAAAGACTGACGACCTTTCCGGTGATACTCGAAGATCCTTTGTCCCACGTGTATGGGTTCTCGTTAACAGCAGCCATCTACACATAAGCAAATAATACGTAGGGGTCACTAACCTTATTTATGAACATGCGCCCTTTCTACGTATGACACTTAGTCGCATAACTGCGGAGGTTATATCGTGACGTGACAAGGTGCATTGCTTCTTCTTCCTCGGATGGGATGCTAGTCAAGACTGTCCCCTCCCCTCCATCTCCAGAAGATTTGGCAAAGTAATAAAATAGGGCTCGCCCTTTTTAAACATTTACCCAGAATCTTCGTTAACTGAAATGATCTCAAAGCAGTGTCTAATGGAGATCCGAAAAACCAAATTTATCTCAATGGTCAATAAAAACAAGGGTTACTATCATCATCAGAAAATTAGACCTGAAAGAAAAAAAAGGCAAACTGCCAAGGAAACGGGAAACGAAAGAGACCAATTTGTGCGGATTGGTTTTACTTTAGACTCTGGTTAGTTTAGAGACTGGTGGAGTTTTCAAACCAATCACAGAGCGATGTGGAGCAAAACCACAGGAATCTCATAAATTATAATATTTAACATTTTACAGGTACTAACAAGGATTACATTAGGAAAAAGGCCTAAATTGAAAACTCAGTCTCCTATGTTGATCTCCTCTTGATGTAACAAAAACCTACCTCTTTGTCTACAGGGCCATCAAGGTCTGAGCCTGCTTTGCCAAACAGCTTTCCTAAAGGAGGCATCTTGAAGCCTGATGCTCCGTCACCGATTGAAGATCCGTTTGGGGAGTCTGGGTCAGCCCTTTCTACCGCCATGTTGAGCTTAGCAGTTGAAATAACACTTGGTTGTTCACCTGGGAGTTTGTTCTCCAGGACAGAGCCGCTAACTGTTCCAAGCATTCCCACGATAGCGTTAGCTGCATCGCGGCTCTGTGTCAGACAGGGAGAAGAAATGTTTTCAAATTGCTCGTCTTGGGAACTGCAAGTTGTGTGATCGTGTTAAAAACATTAAGTGAAGCTTTGCATTGGAGTGTTCTGTGGATTTTTTTACGAATTCCTCAGTATTTCCAGTATGTTCCTAACCTGTAAGATCACAATGTGCGACCAACTCTACCCAAAACAATTTTGCATATCTGATGTATGAAACTAACCTTGGCAGATTCTTCGTCAAGTTCTACATCTTCTTCATCCGTAGAATTTCTAGAGAATTCATCATCTACTTCGCTACAGTCAAAATCGTATGGCCCACATGTTGGAGGGGCTTTCGTAGCATTCATCTTTTTGGGCTTAATAGCTACGGAACTCCCGGCGGCATTAAGAACTTGTCCCATTCCAGACAAGAGGGACTCGGCACTGCTAACTACTGCGTCGTAACCAGCAAAGTCATCGGAACTACTCTTTAACAGGGCTGACATTCTCTCAAAAGCTTCTGTTGAAGCATTCTATGAAGTAAAGTAAAAAACACATTTGGGTAACGAGCCATTCCACGCAAATGTTTCGTGTACGTATGACTAGGTTATGGTTTGTTTTGCACGACTCAACGTAATTCATAAAATGTCGTAAATTGTTGAAATATCTTTCGATTTGTTTGAGATAACATTAGGTTAAAGTATTAGACTTTTCATTTGACGATCGCAGAAAAAAGCAACAGAATACAAAAAAAGGCTGTTTAAGACACCCCCGATACGCCTATATCGTTTTACAGTATTGCATATCGTCCGGAAATGGATACCACTGGATAATAATCCTGGAATGTTTAATAATTGCTAAAATATATCCTCTGAGTAATTTTACAGAAAGCCTCTCGCCCTCATCTTAGCCATTCAGACGTAAAACTTAAACGGACGTGACTTTTGATTTGAGGTCTCTTTGCTTAATGGTCTACTTTTGACTTTTAACCTCGTACAGTTTATTCTTAACAAGTTTTGAATTTCGTGCATTCCGAACAGCTCAAATACTTTTCTTTTAGCGGTTAGTTTAAAGACACACATTAAATGAATAAGAATAAGATCTCAAGGTAGCAGTATACCATAGCTGTTGTTGATGTTTCATCGGTGAACATGGAAGCACTAGCTATCGTGTCAGCGGACTGTTGCAGGCTCTCTAATGACGTCACAGGAAGGGACGCCGCCGCTTTGATTACTGATGTCCGAACCTGACAATTCAACATTGAGTGAATCAGCTCCTTACTCAAATGTTCATGATAAGGTCGTTCTCTAGTTTAAACACAAACAAATTGGACAGGAATAAACTATCCTAAGCTGTATTTTCTCGCTTTCGCCATAAAAAATGCGACGCTCTCTTTTTTGATAAGATTGTTCCGCTATTCACTTGCTCTTTTCGGTCCTTCGAAAAAGATTCTTAGATTCGTCGCGGGTGATGTCGTGATTCAGCTTACCCTAACCCTCATGGTGCTCGCATTAATTTAGATAAAACTCTAGTCTATACAACCGTTTTATTAGCTACACGAGTAGGTGATACAGCTCATTCTCAAACCATCATTGATGCTGCCAGCGAATATTACAACATTTAGCCCATTTTAAACTTGTCAGCTATTGAACAGGTATATGCTGGACATTTTAGGTATATTTACATCAACCAATCACTAAGCCCTACGAGCCCGAGTCAGTCCGATACAGATGTTTCAAATATCGAGTCCTCTGGGTTGTCTTCTATGTCTCGATATAAAATAAATATTTACCTTCGACCTTTTACATTTTAACCTCGTAAAAACTTTCCTCGCCAAGAAGTTCTCTGTTGCTCACTGGTACAGTATCCGATCGCAGTGCAATTTAGGGGTACACGCGCGACAAATTTTATCATCTTTAAACAGTTTACCTCTTTTCTCTTTTCTTTCCTGGCACCCTCTCTTTCGCTGTCATTACCGGATGGTGTTTTTGTGCTCTGCGCGTTCAGAAGTGAATTGATGGCTCCAACCATCCTTAGAGCGGCTTGGCTATCACCTACGTTCACCAGGTTGCTTAACTGACTGTTTTCACCTGATGTCATGTTAGCAAGCATATTATCAAGTTGGTCTCCTTCTATCTTGGGTTCTACAGACTGAAGAAAAACCTCTCGATTAAAACACAACAGAAGAAAATCCTCTTCAGAGTGTATTATTATGGTATTTAGTATAACTATTATAAGCATCATTCCTGAATCAGTTGTAACCAGGATGGAGAAGGATGATAATTATTGTTGACCTCCAGAATTAGAAACAGTGGTCGAAAATACGAGAAAGACTGGTACACAAAAACAAAGCCTTTAAAAGGACAACTGACATTAGCGCGACAAAGTAACTGATAATAGTCATATTAAATTCTTGCCTGCAAAAAAAGAGAATATTTGGCCTCTCCTTTGTAGAAGTCTAACACTTTGGCGATTATTTCGAGCGTGTAATTCTGCGTGGGATTTCCAAGAGGTAGTTCAGAATATGTAAAATTATTATGACCAAAGTAAAACAGAACTAGTTTTCCTTCCTCATTTTTGTAATAAAATTGATAACTCAGGGGCATGTCGGGATCTTTCCAGCCTTCGCACCAAATATGGAAATTCGTTATCAGTGCATCACCGCTCGGAGGCCAACCAAAACAGGCCCCTCCCTGAGGAACTTCATTCGTTACGTACACACTCTCTGTCTTGCCGTTGACTCCCCTCGCACGGCGACCGTAAAGGCGAATGAGGTACTCGCTGCCCCCATGGAGCATGTCTTTAGGCAGCGTGAAAATGGGACCTGTGGTATCCTTCACCTCGGCCAAGCTTTGCGCGATATTTTGTTGCAGTTCCCAGGACTTGATGGAGTCGTTGCCAACGTTTTTGTAGACTCGCCATTCGTAGATCAGGCGTCCAATACAACCCTCAAAACAGGTGCCAACCAGGGAAAATCGTTTGGATGGACAGATTTTCTCTCCACAGTTCTGCTTACACCTATTGAAAAACAATATTTAATTTGTTAAATTGACCGAAAGGATAAAAATACTTCTAAAATGTGGTCACGCAGCACTCGGTTGGATGAAGTAATGATTCAAGGAAACATTTGTCAGCGCTACTCATGTTATTCCAAACAGTCATGCTTGTCTACTGAGACGAAATAATTGTCGTTAACCTATAACGCTACCACTGGTTTAATTGAATTATATTTGGAGTCTCCATGCTACCTGGTAACCTTAGCAGGGGTCCATAAGTCTTGTGAAAAGACTAATACCTGAAGTGTTTACCAACCTAGTAGGTCTCGTTTGTGATCTTCATCCGGTTTAGGACCTTCTTAACTTAAGGTTTCGTGCATGAAAAAGATACCAATTGCAGAGTGGCCACTACTTTAAAACCACTTTATGTAGAAATGTTTGGGAAACGTTAGAGTCAAACAATATGATTTCACTTACTCTATTTTTGACACAGGAGGATCTCCTTGGATGACTTCCACCACTTGGTACTGATGGGCTATCCTTCCTCCTTTCCTTATGACCACAAACACCACGTATGTTTCATCTTCCATCATTTGCGACGTGTCGAGAGTCAGCCAACTATCCCTGCCAGCCAAAACAAACTCTCCATCTCCATAGCAACCCTTTGAGTACATTTTCCCAGGTGTTGACGTTTGACCGGTGGTGTCGTATGGGGTGCGCAGATTTAAATTTGAATAAAGATTTTGTGGGAACTGCGTGTAAATGCTCCTGCATAGCCACGTGTAACTCAAGCCTGCCAAAGGGTTAGTTTGTTAGACAAGGGCACACAACATGCAAACTGAAGGAGCAATGATCCTTATTACAGATAAATGGTCCTTATTACAAGGAATGTACATAAAGAATCATTGAAGACCTCGATTTAAGAACGTTGCAGCAGATAGTTAATTTTTTTCGGCGTTTTATTTTGCATAAAACTAATTTTTGCCGATCAAGGGCTATTCGCAAAATCCGCAACAATAGTCATGCTACAGAACAATTAACAGCTTTTCCTCCAGTAGTGTAATTGGCAAGGGAAGTTCAAGCCTAGATCAGGCCAACGTACGATAAAATTTCTTCTCTAGGGAATTTGTATCGGTTTGCTCAGCAGTTTTGAGGCGGGGTTAATCCATTTTGATCCAGCCCTTGGGATGGGTAAAAATTGCTGCCCTTACCTGAGTCTTGTACATTTTCAACATCCGGGTCTTTCGATGGTGATGCATCGATCTTTACCTTTTTCCCAAATCCTCGACTAATCAAATTACCGCCGTCAATCTTTGCTATGAGGGGCGATGGAACAATTTTTAAGTAACCAATAGTTGTGCCGCGAAATTTGTCTGTTTCAGGTATTGCCATTTGCGCTGTGAACTGAACTTCATACACTCCGTATTGCAACGTTTTCCTGGGAATGTTTAGTTCTCTTTCATTCATAATAATATTTCCTTTGTGTTTGCTTTGAACTCCGTTTTCGTCAAGCAACAGTAGCCTCCAGCTAAATTTTACTTTGTTGGATCTCTCGCAGTCAAGGTGAATCAGAGTACGGACAACGAAGGGATCCGATCTGAGTGATGTTGGGGCGGTATTTGAAGTTTCACCAAGATTTTCAATCTTGACATAAGGACTTGCACAAGATGCAAAGACAACTTCGACATCTTTAAAAACACGAACAAAGGATACCTCGTTTGAAGCGTTTAAGGCAACAACATATTGTCCCACCTGATTGTAGATATGATCAAACTTAACGCTTTCAACGGCTGATTTGACAATAAAGCTGGACGTTGAGTTTCTTGCTTTGCATCCGGGATGTCCAAACAAGGAACGTGTCCCGTCTCCGAAATCGACAAAGAAGCAAGAATTTGTGCCGAGCTGCTTAGCGCTTATGTAAAATAAAATTGGTTGATTAATTTTCTGAGGGCTGTTGATTTGCAAGATAGGATCCTCTATGGCGTAGTGAATCATTACACTGATGTTCGCATGCGCCTCACTCACCAAGTTCCTTACCAGAACCATCACAGTGTGAATTCCTACACGGCGAAAACTGTGCTGAATGCGCATCTTTGGTCCGAATTTCCCTTTTTCATTATCGATCTGCCATTGATACGATAAGTCAGTTCCTAGCGCGAAAACTTGGAATGTGATGTTGCGGCAAGCTGGAAAGTTGTTGCTATGAAAACCTTGCCCACCATGTGAACCGCCTTGTTGGGGTAACCTAGCATATGCATCTTCAATATGTACCGGATGTTGGATTATCAGGGCTGTTTTAGCAACAGCCCTGGAGACGAAGTTCCATGCTTCAACCACTACTTGAAATACACCCGCAGCTTTATATTCTGCAGGTTTAATGGTGACGTTTCGATTCCCACCCAACTCCTTAGAAATTACATTGCCAAAAAGAATCCGAAAGTTTACATCGGTGCCATTGGTTGTTTGCCATGAAATAACAAAAGTTTCGTTAAACTGTCGAGGGTGCAAGTTAGAAATTTTGAGATCTTTTATCGGCTCTTGTATAGTAATTTCCTGGGCATCCCTTCCATGACTAAGCCGGTTTTTACATTCCACAAGCAAATGGTATTTTCCAGATTTTTGGTAGACATGACTTATTCGATAACTGTGATTGTTAAAGTTCTTAACTGGTGTTCGGACTGAGCCCAGATACACTTTGTTTGGGATGTTTAGCCGGTGTAGCGCTCTTCCATCTCCGAAATCACAATCACAGAAATAATCCGAGCCTTGATCGATTGAAAGCACGATTCTCGCGTTTTCAGACACGTTTGAAGGCAACGTCGACAGCTTCATGTTATGTAGTTGAAGAACTGGTCTATGCACGGTGACATTTATTATGGTAGAGACTGAGGACACGTTATTATAGGCTGACACATAAACTTGGTAGGTGAAGTTCGGTTGTGTCAGATAAATATCTTTGTAGGCGTAGGCGTGTGAGATCTTTCCCAAAGTATTCTTCACTTTATTGCCGTCTCCAAAGTCGAACAAAAACATTGGGCTTGTTCCAGCACCTAACTGAACGGTGAAGGTCGCGTTTTGTTCAATTTCTAACTCACGAGATGCAAATGTAACGTTGACGGTGATATTTGTGACAGCAAGTTCTGCTAAGATGACCGCTGATCTGTTTTGTATTGGGCTTACTAAGTTATGGGCTGTTACCTGAATGAAATATTCACCAGGAATATTGACCACCACACGAGCGTGACCTTCTAATTCTGAAGTGTGAATAGAAGTGATCTCTCCTCCCTTAAAACCGATTTGAAACGTAGCATTTGTTCCTGATGATATGCTCCAGAAAACTCGAAATTCTCGACCAATACTTTGGGCGGGAATTACTGGAATATTCAAGCCCTCGACGAGGGTTTGAATCACGACCTCCGCCGAAGCGACTTCGGAACTCAAGCGATTTTGACAACGGGTTGTGACAACAAAGATACCTGCAGATGAGAATCTATGTTCAACGTAAAATTTAAGGTTTTGAAAGGCTTCTCTTTCCGCTGTCTTCCCATCGGCATAAAAGCTAAGATAGTGGTAACTAGAATTCAGACTTGATCCATCTCCAAACTGCCATGTACAGAAAAAATCTGAGCCCTCCCGCAAATAAAGGACGATTTTAGTTGAGTCATTCACAGCAGTTGGCGCAGTACGGAGTGAGAGACCTCGGAGAACGAGTACCGGCTTGACAACCTTTACCTTTAGCAGCGCAAATTCTTCGCTTACATTGTTTCGCGCAGTGACATTAACCACATAATGAGAATGAGGATTAAACTTGTAATCAACAAGATGTCTTTGAGTGACCATCAGCTCGCCTCCATCATTGAAGTCAAACGCAAATTCTGGATTACTACCATTTTTGAGACTCGTAACTATGGACACGCTCTCGTTCACTTCTATATCACGTGGATTTCCCATGATGTACACTGTCAGACTATGTATGGGAATCTCGACAATGACGTGCCCTTGAATCCAAATCGGAGACGTCACCAGGTTCCACACGGCCACAGTGTACTCGTGTATCCCTGGGAATTTGTAAACATCTTCATCTAAGATATGAAATGCTGAGAGACCTGTCATGTTCCGACGGAATCTATGCTCGTTGAAGTCTATTGCGAAAGAGGCGTTGGTCCCCGAGGTAAAACCGAAGCTAATATTGATCGGTTTTCCAAATATAATAGGTTTAATGGGAATGAGTCGAGCACCAATGATTGGTCTCTGGACAGTAACAGCAATTGTTGCAGTCTTTTCACTAAGACGGTTTCTACAAGTGACAGTCACTTTATAAACTCCTACTTTTGTATAATTGCGCTTTATAAAAAACTGGACATCAGGCACGTTCATGTTCATTGGATCCTTGACAGGATCCCAGGCGGACTGCGCGCGGAGGTCGAACTCCTTGCTGTAATTAGGAATTTCATTAAATGAAGCGCTACAGATAACATCGGAGGCTCTTGGAATGTGCGCACTTATCACTGTAGTTTGTAAGAAGATTGTCGGTTGAGTGGTCAAGGACAAATCTTCTACCAACAGCACTGGTTTGTGAATCTTGATCAAAATATTCGCAATGAAGAAAGATACGTTGTTAGAGGCATTAATTGTCACCAAGAAGTCCCCGTAGACTGGATAGCTGATGTTTGTCATTATCCCTCTTGTGTTCAATGGATTTCTTCCATCTCCTAAGTCGATAAGATAGTAAGGATTGGCCGCATTTTCCTCGTTAGTTTTTGTCATGGATAGGACAACAGTCTCGTTAATTTCGATGTCTCGATCTGAATGGTATATAACTGGCACAAAGGGTTGTACTTCTGTTTCAATGCGAATCGTTTCTGAAGCCTGTAAAACTGCGCTTACTTTGTTGGTCGCTGTTACAGTGACGTCAAAGAGACCTACACTCACGTGATCTTGACGTCGTATCCAAGCCCATCCGCGTGAATCATTCTGACCTTTGAATATCTTAAGCTCCTTATTTTCAAATCTAGCTGTGTAGTGGATATCGCTGCCAGTTTGTACTCGCCACGTGACAAGGAACTCGCTGAGGTAGGTTTTAGGAGTAATTTTGTCAATAACGAGACCTGTGATGGGAACTTGCACAAATACTAGCGAAGAAACATTTGCTGTGCTAAGCCTGTTGACACAACTGACGTTAAGTGTATACGTTCCTGCTGAGTTAAACTGGTAATTCATCTTGTGCATCAACCCATGATGCGCAAAGTCTGTCTCAGCCAGGTGACCATCACTGAAGTTCCAATTACATTTGAAATCAGTGCCTCGATTTAAACTCAGAACTGCAATGAACACGGAGGGGAATGATACAGGGTCATAAGACAGGTTCAGGTTTCCCAGGAGCTCCAAAGGTCTTTCAACAGTCACAGTTGCTCTGACGACTAAAGTTTCATTACGGCAACGGCTAAATATGATGGCCTTCACGGAAAAATCTCCATACGTTGAATAACGGTGGTGAATTGCTTCTCGATCGGAGGTGACCGTCGGGCTTCCGTCACCTAGATCGTATACGTACTCGCTAAACTTTGAGTTCTTGTCGTTGTGCACTGCCACTGAAATGTTTTCGTTGACTTCAATGTACCTGCTTTTGTGGTGTATAACCATATTAATCCTGCTGACGGGTTCAACTATGAAATGAAGTTAATAAAAGATCACTGGATAAATCGTGTGAAGGAACTGAGTAACTGCTCTCAAACAAGCCAAACTTATTTAAGGATTTACTTTACGGTTTGTCCGTCTTTAAAAATGCGAATTTTTTGGGTCATCATTTGTATTCTGAGTTTATTTTTGCCATCCTTTACTCGTCCTCGTCTCTATTTGCGGCGAGTTAAAAAGTTCAAAAACACATCAATGTATCTTTTAAACTGAGCTCTGAAAGGAGCTGGTTACTGGAAACCCGATCAGCATCAATTCAAGTTTTCCTACATGCAGAAACTAAACTTTGCCTTACTGGTGAAACCTAAACAGGTTCTAAACACGCTACTCAGAGGGCTGGAGATCACTCGCTAAAATTTCCTGTGAAAGTATAATATACCTGCTGATGGATGACTGGGTGGAAAACGTTAAAACAAGGTACATTAAAAGGTAAGGAGGAGAAATTAGGGGCGAGTGATCTCAGAGTTTCTGAACCTTTGGCTAAAGATTATCACGTTGGAGAGAAAGGATGTTGGGTTGGTTTGTTAACTGCATTAGACCAGCTAAAATGATAACCGCACAATTAATTTTATTAGTAACTGTTTACTTACAGGGTTTGCACGCTATACGTGCCTTTTCGATTTGTCTCTGCGTCAACACTGTTGAGTAAAACTGCAGACATGCCACCCTGCCTTTAAAAAAGTCGTCCGTTGATGTCTGGCGAGCTCCGATGCGTACATCAAACTGTGTAGCGATCTCTGTTCTTCCTATGTTTCCTGATGAGACTTCCTGGTCGTTGTGCCACAGGCTAACCAACCCGCTACTGTAATCATAGGTCATTCCGACATAATGCCATTCATTTCGGGTCAGTATTCCAGTCTTCTTAATAACTGCTGTTCGCCGAAGATTGCGACGATTGACACGCGTTGCCAATGCCCTGTCTGAAAATCTATCCTCGTAAATCTGAACTCCATGTCCATCTTTTTTGTAGTTAACAATAGGACCTGCCCTACCGAGGGGATACACATACAACAAGATGGTGATAGACCTCTTAATATTCAGGTTCCCGACGTCTTTCCGTAATTCGATGTAAGAGTCTGCGCGGCCTTGGACTTCAATGGAGCCTTGTTCCTCGCCGTGAATTCCCGGTGAGAATTCTGTTCCTGCTGCAAAGCCAACGCCCTTGTAAGGCGAGACATCGTTGGCGACGGTAATGTTATTGAATGGGTACACTGCTTTAGGGAGAACTTGGAACTCGCAGAAGTGGTAATAAGCTATCAAGGAAGAAGAAGAGGGAAAATGAGGCGATTGTGACAAAGGAAGCGAGTTGGAAATAGAAAAGAAGTTCTTGGCCACCTTCAAACTTAAAAAAAACCGTTTTATAGTTATTTTAGACATTTTCTTCTAAATGTTTCGTTATCAATAGCCGCCCAGTATTTATCAAAAAATTCTCCTATCTTCTTGCGTCAAGGACCAGCTGAATCATTTTTTAATCAACAGAGATCTTCAACCTGGAAACTAAGTATATTTGGGCTGAATTTTTTTCGATGGAAAACAGCTATGACAAGGCAAAGATCCAGAAGCTAACCATCGTGTTGTTTTATGATCAAGAGAGAAAGACTGAGGGAAAGTTAATGCCAATGCAGCTTTACTTTACGGGTTGGTTTCTTTGACGTACATTGGCTAATACATGGGATCGAGAATAATACTTTTGACTAATATTCCAGCTTCATCCCAGCGTTTTAGTGGTTAGTTGCATGAAATCCCATTTTTATATCGAATAGTTTGAAAATTAGGTAAAGCTGTCAAGTTTTTATAGGGCGTTTTCTCATTCTTCCTTAATTTTTCGTTGTTCGATCTTCGTTCTATCGGGCGAGTATGTCAGCAGATACATTTTGATATCCTTTCCAAATTGTTTAAGTTGAACAAATTTGGCCGACGCAACCGATTAGACATCCGCCTCTTCAATGACAGAGCAAATAAACAACAGGTATTTTCTTTGGTTGTCGATCTTAATATATTCCGTTTCAAACACTGAAAGGCAAAACCGTATGTAATAAGCGGTCTCGTTGTACGAAAAGAAAATTTTTCCGCAGAATTGATTTGAAAGACTGCACTCATAACGCCTAAAGCTTACTTAAAGCAAAGAATCAAATGTGTGATAGTCTTCTCTAGTTATTTAACGCTTTACAGCTTCACTGAAAAATCGCCCGTGTCCGTAACACGCAACAAATTTTGAAGTATTGATATTGCCGCAAACGCAGTTATTTTCCGTTTGGAAAATAATTGTCGGTATACTGTGTAAGTCGTACCCGAAGACAGTCAGGTTTTCCGACAATTGCCACAATTAGAGGAGATTATAATAAAACTGTAAGTGTTGTGAAAGCCGAGTTGAAGCCCTTTGGGGATCACTGGGTTTTGCTAAGAGAGAAAATTCACTCTCGCAATGGCTTTCCCTACCCACGAATCTAAAAGGGCACTGATGAATTTTCTGGTTGAAACAAAGAAATTTGAGGGGATGCTACAAAATAATTGGTATGGGTTCATAGAGGGTTCATGGAAGTGTGAGCTAAATGGTTCGTATGCAAAACTTAATCCGGTTTGAAGGCCACTAGTGTCTAAGATGCTATTAAAACAATATAGAGAAGTATCAATTGTGCTCCTGAAAGATTTCATTGACTTAGTGGGAAGGTGTCTTTCCATAGTCATGTATGCTGGTCGTTTTTTTTCGCTGGAAAGCTCAAAACGTGCAGATATTTTGCTTCCTGTGTAAACAGGATCAAACTACGAATGATTATTTTGAGACACCTAGAAAAGTATTGCGAAAGCAAATCTGTGTTCTAACCGCTTTAAAATCCCTCATCACATGTAATGCTCCTCATTGAATCTAATTACCACCCTTAATCCATATTTATTCAGTTCGTTTTCCGGCGCACACGGCAAAAACACGAAAACAAACGTTAGTAATATGTGCCTGGTTATCAAACAATTTCAAACATTAGCAGACATTTCCTATACCATTTTTCGACTCTTCAGCTGTTTTATATGTGCCAACGTAGAGTTTTTAAGGGTTTTTCAAAGCTTCAGGCAAAACGAAATGATCGCCGCTGTAGTCTTGTCAAGAGGACAAGGCTACATTGAACTTAAATTGTTTCAAACTAGAGAACATAAGTTTCGAATGAGGAGCTAGAGTAACGGCAGTTAACAATGAAAAATTAACAGGTTCCGCGGGCCTTTCAAACATTTCGTTTACACAAGTTGTTTTACCTCACGCGTCCTAAAACTCAAAACTCGGGAGACAACAAAGCCGTTGACTAACCTAATAATATTACGTAGGATTTTGCCCTTTTTTTTAGGTTGTTTCTTTCTTTTGGGAAAGTGAGAAAGGGAGGGAGGCGGGCTGTGACAATGCTAAGGCACCCCTCTTCTTTCCTATGTTATTTGCAGAATCCTTTCAGTGAGGGGCCGAATCAGGATCTAGATTGTCGTGTTACCTGGAATTCGAGCTGATATCAAAAGAATGAATAAATTTAGTAGCTACAAATATCATTAGAAACTGCCAAAACATTTCACCCTCATCAAGATGTTGACAAAAAGCACAAATGAAGTAAATAGAGTCTCTGCTTATGATGAGTTTAGTCTGTGTTTTCTCGAAAACGTTTTCTGTCATTTTAATTCAATTGTACATACCCTGTGATGAATTGATGATCAAGCTTCCTTGTGTTTCATAATCAGACAAAACCTGTAGAAAAAAATGTCCACATAAGCCTTGAGCGAAAAATAAACAAAAGGCTAAGGAAAGGAAGCAGCCAAAGGCTGCAATTTTCTTGGACTAATGCAACTTCTCTTCGCTGTTCGGTGAGTTAAATTGTAGGACCGCAATTGTGTAACAGACCTCGAACTGGCATCAAAGTATCCAGTTTCATATTATGTAGCTTCTAAATTATATCGATGAGAAGATTAAGTTTCACTGCTCGGAAACTAGCTACATACACAAAGCTTTCCAAAATGTACTGGAAAAATTTGGTTGTCAACTGTGAACGACCGTCTATCTATTCGTGTCGTTAAGAGTTCGTTATTGTAAAAAACAACAATTCAGTGCAATTTCTTCGTACCAAAAACAGTTTTGATACACCAAGAGATACTCACCACCCCAAAAATTAACGAAAACAAATAAAGAACAAAAAAGTTCATCTTTTAGCTTTGAAAAAAATTAGCCGCAGTTCACTTGTCTCCGTGTCCTCTAGCATTACCTATAAACCTGAGGCATGACGTAACAGTCTGGCCATCCGGCTCATAGAAAAGCTCACTTAATTTTTGCTTTGCCTCTGCGGTGACAAAACATTTTGCACGACTTAATTGTGAATACCTTAAGTGTTCTTACCTGCAATAGAGGAAGGAGATAATATAACACCCCCAAAAACATACTCAAACTGACTTCTTTTTAGTACGCGTAGTACTGAGTCAGTTTAATGTTTAGGCACCACTTCGCAACCCTGAGTTTCGAAGCCAAGTCTAGATCTCTTCAATTTTCACCGGCATCATGAGCAAGAGCTCCATGTATCCGCGTTTGCATGACACCAAATGAGCGGCACTTTTCGTTGAGGTAAGTGGATATAACCGTAGACAAGACATGAATTTTTTATAATCTACCCTTAATACTATATGGATTGTCTTAATTGGTGCCGCGAAAATTAGGACATGAAACGAGAAGTTTGAATAACTTAAAATTAGGCTGAAAAGAGGATTTAAGTTTGTCCCATTTTTTTTGTGGACATGAGAAAATCTACTCAAAAGCTTGCCATATTTGGTTCGATTCCAAGATCGGTCCCAGATATGTTTGCGCCACCAAAATAATATAAATAATAAATTTTCTGTTGAATTTTCATCGCTTTACCAACTTGAACTTTGCAACACGGTTTAACCAAGGAAATTCTGTAAGAAACACTAGTACCTTAATTCCGGTAGCAAAATTCCTTTTAATCATATATGTACTTGGAACTCTGACAAGGTCTCTGAAGAAATAGAGGTAAATATTTATCTCAGAATGTATTCTGCGGCCAAAATGTTTCTACAGACAGACTCTCTTGATGCAAAATAATGGGACACTTACTTCGACACGTTTTCCTTGACAAGATTTTTGAGGAAACTTTCCTCTAGGAAATATAAGATTAAATATAAGACATGTTATCCCACGAAAAGTCCTTTGTCCAGAAACTGTCTTGCCGGTTTTAAAACAAGGTGATTGGTAAAAAACTTGTGAAGGACAACATTTACAAAAAGGAAACTTTTGAAGGATATTGTAAAATACTTTCCAGCCACTTTTGCATTATAATTAGCAAAGAGAAGTTTTCTCTCGTAATGTAAAAAGTATTTTTTTTTTCGAATTTGAATATTTGGTCTTCTGTGATTATATGTTTACTTTTTTTTCACTCACGAATCACTTAATGGTAGCATTTGACCGATATCCTAAAACGGTTTCTATTGTTCCCCAGTCAGAAAAGTTTTTATTACCTTTCCTAGACTTTTTGGAACGCGAAAGTGACATGAACCTTCTTTCCAACTTCGTTTTATCTTCCATAGAGGATTTATGGCATATCTTCTGAACCTAAACAACTTTATTAGGAGCCTCCTAGAAGATATATAACTAAATCTCCTAACTGATTGATTCAGTTAGGAGATTCATTTATATATCTTCTTCATCGATGCTGTTGAGAGCTAGTAAATCATCTCGTCTTTACTTACTTCACTCCATGTCGCTATTGTAATAAAAAGTTACCGAGCCATCTTTTATTTTTGCCCTTCCTGTGTCCTGATGCCGGTAAACTTCCGTTGGGTATCTTATATCTTACCGGTGATATACTTGGCGCTCTTATTCGCCGATATCGCGACGAATTTGATTTCCGGCGAAAATCGCCGACAGATATCTGCGCTTTTATGTGCCGATCTCGGCCGGTCGGCCAAAATCGCTCTCGCAGCACCGGGCACATCTGGTGATTTTCGCCGATCGGCGTATAAAAAGGCCAAGCGTATCACCTGGTTTAAGCTGTTAGATGGAAGCAGACCAACCTTAGCGAGGAATTAGAAAAATTCAGTGATTGTGACAAAAAGCTACTCGGTGTTTTTCACGAAAAAAATTACGCAAAAAGTTAGTTTTCCGCGCTGAGTAGATCCGTTGAAGACTCATCACAGTAAATGAAACTTTACAACAAAGGTTGTATTCAAGTAAAGATGCTGGATCATTTTATCTAGTCAATGTCTGTTAAATATCTCTAAAGAAGCGAATTCTGTCGTCTGCCCGACAAACCATGCAATGTTCCTTATAAACCTAAATCACCAAAAACATGACGTCATCAGCGGTTCTCTTCTCTCTGCGCATGCAAAGTGCGCCACGTCTTGTTCCAAAACAAAAATGGAGGAACAGGTAATCTGGGATAAAGTATATGGAGCTTGAAAAAACAGCTTTTGCGATTGTTTTTGTTGTGCAGGCTTCCCTGATAATTTGTCTCTCTTTGCAGGAGATTGCTCAGCTTGACCTCCTCTGCAAACAGCTATACGAAGCTACCGATACCGTGACAAGAAATGCGGCGGAAAGGGCGCTCTCCACTTTCACAAACTCCCCTGACTGTCTGACCAAGTGTCAATATCTTTTGGAGCGCGGGAGTGTAAGTTTTCTCATAACATCTTTGCAGCTTACAATGTAACGGATATTTTGTTCACAAAAAAGTGTTTATTGTTTCAGTTTGTGTACTTCTGGACTATAGCCTGATGCCACTATGCTTGGTTTCGCGCGCGTAATTAATTATATCTTTAGGGTATTTTTCCTTGTCTGTTACCTATCCAAATCCCGTGCTAATTATCACGTGCGTTTTTGCATACCGCAGAATAAAAATCCTATTTATTGAAATGTTTTGGTTTTGATGTGAATACTCTTACAGATTGTCATCATTTAATTGTATTTGTCATTTAAGTTTGTTTCTTTTTTATTTGCACGTGCATGTGCCATGCTTAACGGATTGATTTTTTTAATTTTTTTTTTTACTCTAGTTAAACATGACGCCTAGTCGATTCAAATGTAAACGTTTCTCGGTATCTAAACGTCAATCAGATTGTATTTCATGACAAGATGATTGCATTGCATTATATGTGAATGCTGTATTTCCATCCTAATGTTGCAAACAGTCATACTTTCTTTCGTGAAATTCTGTACTTCTGATTTGAGAACCTTATTTCACACTTAACAATGAATACTTTTTAACATTCGTAATCAAAAGTAGCAGTAGCCATGATCAAATTTCCCAAGTAGACACTCTGGAGAAGCAAATAAAATCTTTGCTGCCCTCAGGTGATGATGTCAGAAAAGAGACTTTGGAGATAGACATTTAGCAATGATTGGGATAGGTAGCACATAGGAAATAATTTTGTGGGCCATAATTCTTGGTTGCATTTTTAGTTACTAGGTAAAGTCTGCACATTGAGATCGAAGCTTTCAAAAATACAACTTAATGTATTGAAAACAAATAAACACATCTCGCAGCACTGCTACTAAACCCCTTACATTTTAAAATTCTATTTTCCAGTCTTCCTATTCCCAATTGATAGCAGCATCCTCTTTGACAAGACTTATCAGTAAGAACACAACACTTCCTGTGGAACAAAGACTTGACATGCGTAAGTTTTTCAGCTTGGTTTTTAGGGAAAGTTGACAATGATGGTAGGACAGGGTGGAGTCGAATTCAGTCTGCAATCCTGCAGTTTGTTATGTACACAGTTCATTTGCCAGGATCATCTTGTTATCTTGTCACTTATATCTCATCCACAAAATCATAATATGATTACATTCAATTGTGAACACAATCCTTTAATGAATATATAATCCTTAAAAAAAAATACCAACATGTGGCCTAGCTGGTAGTGACATTCAACTAGTATCTGGTAGGCATGGGTTCCAGCGCCATGAAAGAGGGAGGGAAAAGGGTAATGCATGATACAGGATTAAGTGTTTGAAATTTTCCTGACCAGTGAAAATACAAAATTATAATCCAGTAAACTGTGAATTTTTTGTGAGACACAAACCTTTAAGTTGTTTATCTGATTCTTCATGATCACTGTTTTTACTATTTGATGTATGTAAAATGTAAGAAGGACCCCCCCTTTACCCTAGTCATCAAAGTCTTAATCTTTTCAGCCTTCCTTTTCTGAAATTTCTTTACTCACAGTTCACCAGCAGGAATCATTTTATTACTTGTAAATTTAAAACTTTCATTTTCCAGAAATGAGTTTAAGGGGGGCTCTATTTTATGCTCAGCCAAATGTTTTATCTTGATGCTAATTTCTGTGAAGGTTGATATCAGTGGCTATTCCATGAATTTTTTTTTTAATCAATAAATTATTAAAGTACTTTTACAGATTTAAAATAACTCAGATTGTTTATGGTGTTTCAGGTAACTATGTTCTTAATTACCTTGGAACAAGGCCAAACCTTGCTACTTATGTCTCACAGTCACTAATACAGGTGATTAAATTTAGATAAGCTTTGGCCGAAGTAAATGCTGGGTGTTAATTAGATGTCAGTGTTCAGAGAATTATCTGGCTACCATGCAGAATTTTCTTGCTACAGTGCAGAATTCTCCTGCTAAATTTTGATGGGCAGAGTTACTTTTTTTTTATTAAGATATGGAGAATAGCTAGAGGATATTACATGGATGGGTGTGGATACAAATTTTATCTTTGATTGTTGAGTCGAAATTATCAACAAGAGAAGATAATTTGTACCCACAGGCAAAGATGTAAAGTTCTGTTTATCCTATCAATGCTGATTGAAACATGTACTGAGAGCAGTGAATGCTAAGTGCAGAGACAACTGCACAGTAGTGCTGAAATTCAGCTCTCTGGAAAGGGTTTATGGTCATTTTGCCCCCAGTCACTGTGCTCCAACCAAAAGTCAGTTTGTTCCATAATCAAATTTACTTCACTCCATACAAAAGTTACTTTGCTCCATGTTACATGTCAGGTGTATATATGCTTATAAGATTCTATTTGCCTAACTGATGTTATACAATCTTGACGACATGTTTGTAATTGTTCGTTTCACTCGCCCTAATCTCTCTCTGTCCCCCACACCATGCCAATGTTGTTGATGCACTCAAAATGCACTCGAATTTCAAGAAGTGTATATATGCTTACTAGATTGTATGTTATAGTTATCTGTTTTATAAATACGATTTTGATGTGCTCAAAATGCGCTCAAATTTCAAGAAGTGTACATATGCTTAGAAGATTGTATGTTATAGTCGTCTGTTTTATAAATTTGATCTTGATGCATTCAAAATGCACTCAAATTTCAAGAAGTGTATATATGCTTACAATCTTGATGCGCTCAAAATGTGCTCGAATTTCAAGAAGTGTATATTTGCTTACAAGATT